GTAAGATGGTACCTGAAATATAATGTTGTTCAAATGGCTTTCTATCATCCCCTCTCCTTTTCCTCTTATAAAAGTTTTGTCCTTCGGAAGCAGAGAGTTTTGTGCAGGGTGAGAGACAAGGATCTAGCTTCATTCTTCTGCATGTAGCTATCCAGTTTTACCATTGCAGAAATTACTGTCTTATCTATGGTGTGTATTGTTGGTCTCTGTCAATAATCAACTGGCTATAGGAGTATTGCTCCTATATCTGGGTCCCCAATTCAACTGCATTGATCAGTGTGTCTGTTGCTTTTTGTTTCCAAATGAAATTTAAGCTCTATTTTTTTTTCTAATTTTTGGAATTTTGATGGGGAAGTGGCCCTCCTTATCTCTCCTCACTATTTTGTTTTGTTTTTTTAATAATAAAATATCTATGCCTGATTTTTTTCAGCTTCATTTACTTGAGATAATACCTTTTCAACATACTCTTCTTAAGGTGTTAGCTATAATTGATAGTGAAATGTGTTTCTTAAAGGCAAAAAAAATAAGTAGATCCCATTATCCAATCCAGTCTGTTAGTCTGTGTCTTTTATGGGCAATTGAGACTACTAATATCCTAAATTATTATTGATATGTATATTAATTGATTGATTAATTTATATGTATATTAATATGTATATTAATTCCTATTGTTTTGCTGATTTCCTCGTGTTTCCTAGTTATCTTTTGATAATCTGTCCTGGTGTTGCTTGGTTGTTCCCTGTGACCTCTTCAGTGTGTTTATCTCTCTCTTCAGATTTAAGTATTCTTTCTAGTCTGCTCTGTAGAGCTGGCTTAGAAGTTGTAAATTCTTTTACTCTGTTTATATCATGAAAAGTGTTTATTTCTCCTTTGCTTTTATTATGTAGGTTTGCTGGGTATGATAGTTTGCATTGGCAACTGTCTTAGTTAGGGTTTTCTATTACTGTGAAGACACCAAGACCTTCTGTCTTTCTAAGTCAGTTTTAAATGTTGGGTGTTATTCTAATGAATCTGCCTTTATAGTTAACTTTGTCTTTCTGTCTTACAGCTTTTGATATTCTTTTTATGTTCTGTATATGTAAGAGTTTGATTATTATGTGATATGGGTAGTTTCTTTTCTGCTTCTATTTGGTGTTCTGTATACCTCTTATACCTCAATAGGAATCTCCTTAGCTTTAGAAATTTTTCTTCTATGATTTTTTTGTTGAAAATATTTTCTCTGCCTTTGACCTGGATTTCTTAGTTTTATTCTATACATATGATTTGGGAGTGTTGTCTTTTTATCTGTTCCACAGTTCTTGAAATTTCTCTTTGGGGGTTTGTAGACACTTAATATTTTCTTTGGCTGTGTGATTCAAGTTCTCTACCTTCTCTTCAAGACATAGTATTCTCTCTTCCATTTGATCCAGTTTGTTGGTATGGCTTTCTTATAAGCTTTTGTTTAATTTCCTGAGTTTTTCATTTCAAGTTTTGAGTTATTTGAGCGACTCTGGGGATATTTTTGTACTTCCATATGAATTTTGAGATTCCATTTTCAGCTTCTGTGAAGAATAGTGTTAGAATTTTGATGTGAAATGTATTGAATCTGTAGATTGCTTTGGATATGATGGCCATTTTCACAACATTAATCCTACCAATCAATGAGTGTAAGAGGTCTTTACATCTGGTATCTTCAATTTCATTCTTTAGTGTATTAAACTTCTCATTATATAAGACTTTTATTTTCTTGGTTAGATTATTCTGAAATATTTTTGAGGTTATAATAAAGGAGATTGTTTTCCTGACTTCTTTCTCAGTATGTATAGAACCAACCATATGTATCCTTTATGTATAGAACCAACCATCTGCAAATAAGGATACTTTAACTCTTCCTAAGAAGAACGTTTATAGCACTAATACATCAAAAAAATTGAAAGATCTCAAGTTAAAAACTTCAAATTGAGCTGGACAAGGATGATTCTAATAGATATGTTTAGAGGAATGGGGAAGACCTCAGGAAGCCTCAACTCTGCACTAAGAACCAAAGACAACTAAGAAATGCTGAGAATAGAAGAAATAGTCTTCCTTAGGGATGAATATACCAAATGGTCAGTCCTGAAAACATATACATATTATTTAAATTATTCAGACTGAGTATGTTGTATTTATGTACTTAAGAATATATATAATTAATGGAAAAAGATGCTATAAATTTGAAAATGAGCAAAGACAGATATATGAGAGGGTTTGGAGGAAGAAATGGAAGGAAGAAATGATGTAATTATATGAAAAATAAAAGAAATAATATTGAAAAAGATAATACACTATGACAAAAAAACCTAGTATTGCACAAGAAAGCCTTGTAAAAACAACATCCAAAAACAGTAGACAGGAAGAGATCATCAAAATCAAGATTGAGTGAAATAAAAACAAACAAACAAAAAAGTAATTAAAACATCTATTAATTGATGGCTTGATTCTATGAAATGATTAACAAGTTTGACAAAACTGTAGTCAAATTAACAGAGAGGGAAAGAAAGGATTTAAATTAACAAAAGTAGAGATTAAAGGTAGATACTGTTATAATATGAGGAAATTTGAATCACAAGACCTACTTTAACTGTTTATATTTAATGAAACTGGAAAATCTAAAGGAATGGATAAATTCCTAGGTGTACATGACCTACTACAGTTAAATAAGATGAGGTTAGTAATTTTTAAGAGTCCATAACAACCAATGAAGTGGAACCAGTATTGGAAAAATATCCCAACTGAAAGGGCATGTCAGAACACATGTGAGATGAAGGGGGAAGGGAGAATAATGAGGGTGGAGGTGTAAGTTGGAAAAAGGACGAGAAAGTAGGGCAGCAAAGCTGTAGGGGGTAATAATTAATACCAATGATAGCTGAAAACGCCATATGCAAACTTACTATGCTATAAGCTTCCTCAATACCTATATTTTCACACAATACATTTAATGGGAGTTAACCTACACAGGGAAAATGCTCTTCCCAGAAAACATACATTGCCAAATATAAGGTCCAATGCCAGATGTGGGATACCTCCCCTAAAGATCCCTGCCCCAGGAGAATATATGTTGTTTCTATTATTCTTGGTTGCCCAGCAGAACTTTGTAATAAGACCCTGTGGCTGAAAACACCACACACTTTGGTCATAGGAAGCTTCCTCCATGCTGTCTAGCTTTCATAGTACCAGAAAGTACTAGGCAGGCTTCTCGGAAGAAAAGATCATCAACCATCTCAACTAGCTGTGAACCTCATGAACTTCAATACTGACCAGTGGGACTAGATGATGTCCATGGGCTCGATAGTGGCACAAATGTTACAAGTAGCACAAAGTAGGCCCAGTGAGCTATTTAAGACCAAAACAAGCAGGAGTACATGAATTTGTAGGGAGGAAGGAGGTGATGTGGACCTAGCCAGGTGAAGGAGTATGTGTGGGTGGATACAAAACAAATATACTGTATGGAATTCTCAAATAATTAATAAAAATACTTTTGTTTACAAATCTCCTAAATTTCACAGTCGGTCTCAGAACATGAGACAACCCCTGACTAATGAGCAACAGCAACTGGTAGATTTATGCTGTCTTACTTCTTTCCTGGTGGACAACATTAGTGTCTTAGATGACCCCCAAAGGATAGAGAGCCTAGTCTCATAGGAAGAAGGTAAACTTGGGACCTAGGAGATGGCTCAGCAGGAAAAATGCCCGTTGCACAATTATGAGGACCTTTTGGATATCCATCACCCACATAAAAGCCAAGAATGGCAGCGAACATCTGTAACCCCAAGTTTTGGGGAGCAGACAGAGACAGGAGGATCCTAGGGGTTCCCCTGTCTAGCCAGTTTAGCTGAAATGGTGAGCTCTGGGTTCAGAGAGAGATCCTGTCTCAAAAGGTATGGTGAAGAGGAGTAACAGGAGACACCTGGTATTGACATCCAGCCTTCCACACTTGTGGACTCCCAGATGAGTGCATGCACACACACATGGGAAAGAGGATGATGTCAAGGGGGCTCCTAAGAAATAAGTGTCTGGTTTCTCTCGCCTTCCTCCCGTTTTCTATAGAAGTCAGACAAACTATGGTCCCATGGGAAAGGAAGACTGGTAGTGTGAGTCAAACTGTTTGGCCTCTTGCAGCACACAACACAGGGTGGACTTGAGTTGGGTGCATCTAGAGAATCAGAAGCTTATGACATCCCTAAGAAGGACATTTCTCTAAGACAAACATCCACCTTTGGCTCTGAACACAATGCCTCCTTGTCTCTTCCCAGAAGCCAAAGTCCCCAACTACTTCCAGGCTCTGTTTGTCAACTGATAATGCCCTAAAGTTTCTCATTGGAATTTAGGTGGACCTTGGGCACCCACTCTGCATCCCAGTTCTGACAGGGACTGCTGGGAGCTACTAAATAAGGCACAGCTCTGCAATAATCACCTCAAGGTTGAGCCTCCATTTCTCCACAGCCCTCACTAAGCAAATCCCCAAATGCAAGGGTTTGTTTTGGCTCAAAGTTCAATAGGACAGTCTATCATAGAAGGGCAGTTTGGGTGGCAAAGGCTGGTTTTGTTTTATCTACAGTTAGAAAATAGAAGACTATGATTCCAGGTGCTCAGCCCAGCTGTCTTCCTTTTCTCCAGAAGCCAACCCCAGGGAATAGTGCCATCCACTAACAAAGTGGATTCTTCTACCTCAATTTGCCTTATCAAGTTAATCCCTCACAGGCACAGCCAGATATTAGCACCTAATTTATATAAACCCAGAAACCTCTCTTGAAGGTGAATCTAGATCCTGTCAAGTTTGATAATCAACATTACTATCACACTAATCTTTAAAATCCTTAGCCCTTGTCAGTCTCCGCATGCTCCAATGTGACATGGTGTGACTGTAAACCTTATATCTGTGTGAAAGAGAGACTGGAATATATATTAGTTACTTTTTTCTTGCTGTGACAAAACATCATGACCAAAGCAATTTACAGAAGAAAGAGTTTACTTGGACTTACGGTTCCGGAGGAGTAGAGTCCATGATGGTGGCTTGAACACATGGTGGCAGGGACAGAAGCTGAGCTTTCACATTGTGATCCTAAAGCACAAAACAAAGTGAACTCAAAAGGATGTGGAGCTTTTAAACATCAAAGCCCACTCCCTGGTGACATGCTTCTTCCAGCAAGGCCACACTTCATAATCTCACCCAAAACAGTGCCACCAACTGGGGACCAAGTTTTTAAAGACTCAAGGCTTTGAAGGACATCTCATTAAAACCACCACCGAATGGAAAACCAGAAAGCAGCTGGGCCATCCTTTGCGCTGAAGAAGATGGGACATCATCTCTACTATACAACTGCTATTCCTTGTACTCCCTTCGGTTGGACTGAACTCTGCAGTCTAGAGGTCAGAAAGAATTGTTAGATCCAGAATACATGGGGTTTATATTTTCCAAAGATGGCATGAAAATACTTGTCACACCAATGCTTCCCTACAATGTATATGACTTGGGCATCTCAGTTAGGTCTGTGTCCTTTCCTTTGCTTCTAAAGATGTTTGTTGCTGTGGCAGAATAGTTAACACAGCTTGTTCCTAGAGTGCCGTCTCTGGACATTCTCACACATGGCCGAGCTAACATGCTCTGAGAAGCCCAAGCTACATGCTCAAGACACACACACATTGGTTAATTCTGTATTGTTGTGACCACAATACCTGAAAGAAACAAGTAAATGAAGGCTTCTTTGGGCTCAGGATCTCGGGGTGCCTCAAACCTTCGTTGTCGGGAATGCATAAACAACAGTCAAAGCTTGTGATAGCGGCTGTTCACATTGTGGCAGACCAGGAATCAGGAACCGGGCTTTTAACTCTCAAGAGCCTGTTCCTAGTGGCCTACTTCTGCCAGCTATTCTGCTCCTCTTAAAGGTCCCATCATGCCCCAAAATAGTAACAGATAAAATACGAGCCTGTGGGAGACATTTCAGATTCAAATCATAACACTCCATGAGCGCTCTGGTCCCAGGTGAGCCTCACTTTAGCCATCCTGGCCCAGTTAGCAGACAGTGCAGGAGGAGGCCATGTGGGAAGGGATTTTCCAGTCATGTAATTCCTGTCTTTCTAGCAAAGATCTGTCACCATAAAGAGCAACGAGTCTGCCCTGGGCCCTGTCTTATTCCTGATCCATGAACTCATAAGCACAATGAAGTGATTACATTATGCCCTCAACTAAAAACCAAGAGCAAATGGAACTAAGATCTCTTCTCTGATCCATGACAACTAAGGTTGCATTTTTTTTTTTGATTTTTCGAGACAGGGTTTCTCTGTGTAGCTTTGCGCCTTTCCTGGATCTCACTCTGTAGACCAGGCTGGCCTCGAACTCACAGAGATCCGCCTGACTCTGCCTCCTAAGTGCTGGGATTAAAGGTGTGCCCCACCACCACCCGGCTCTAAAGTTGCATTTAAAAAGACTCTCCCTGGTTGTTTCTGAAAGTTCTGGGTATTCGTATGTGGCCACAGTGAATTTGGAATATGAAGTGCCTGATTTGGGAACTCGACCTGCATTTAAGACATACTTCCTGGCTGCTGAGCATGAGCAGGTGACAACACTCTTGTGATTTCCAGAAGAGACAGGAGGTCTGGAGTTCTAAGGAATCAGGAAGGGTGACAGAGTTTTTAGACTGACATTGTGCCCTCTGAGCAGACACTCCTTCTCTCCACATACTCCTGCTGATGGTGAAATAAAGTTGGCACATTCTTGAAAGACACAGCAGCCCACCCTGCACAAGTTTCTGAGTATTCTTCTTATCTGGGCACCTGAGGGAAAGAGCCATGATCAGAAGAATCAGAATCCCCTTCAAGCTCCATAAGACAGTGGCTATCTGATAAAGCCCAGGTGGCCTCTAGGAGTGGACAGCTGGCAGAAACAGTGATTGCTATAGCCCCTAGCTGTCCTCAGGGCTTCTTTGTCTTTTTTTTTTTTTTCATCTCCACTTTTGGTCCCTGAGATATTATCTTATCTCTCACTCACATGGAGTCATTGCTGTTTGGAAGATTCAGACTGGACAGCCTTGGAGACTGCAGGAGTCTGTAGAAACCCATCCAAATTCAACCAGCTTAGTCAGCATCCACTGAGAGAGTAAGAGAAGGTAGGAAGACATAGGTCCTGATTTGCCCACGTGTATCTGGGGTCTATAGTCCTCCAAAGCTACTTAGAACTAGCTCCATCTCGACTTCTACAACTAGAATTCATTTGGAAATATAGGTAAACCCTCTAGACAGATCCAAAACAATGCAAGGTTGTATGTCAAAAAAGACCTACCTCATTTCTGTGAAATGGTAAAAGTTCTTGGGTTAAGGCTTATTTATATATTCACAGCCACAACAAACTTGACTGTGGTAATGGCCGCATCTGTGGAATAAAATTGGACCTCGGTGCATGTTAGGTTGGGATTCGGTTCCACAGGCGGCCACTCTTGTAGCTTTATATTTAATCCATGATGCTATGACACAACTTGGCATGCCCTCAAATGCTTCAATATAAACAGAAGCCCAAGGTTTTCATAGCCTCCCTGCCCTAGATCCCACCTCCAAGCTAAAATGTGCACAGAAGCTCACCTGAACAGCACTTGTCTTCTACATGGGAGCCCCAGCCCACAATAATGGCATGGCCACTGCCAGCAGCCGCTGTCCTGATGAGTCCTCATAATCCAACTCAGGCCCTGGAAGAAAAAGCTGGAGATGCAAGGTGGGGAGTCTACACAGCTGTGAGCAGGCAAATGAGAATCTCTCCTCCTGGGAAAGAATGGAGGGGAGCACTAAAGAGGCTTGGGTCAGTCCCCAGAGCCTGCAGGAGCAAGTACATTGCTGTGCAGAGCTGCATGCCCTACTGCAGAGATAATGCTTCTGCAGACTGAAGCTGGATAATATCTCAGGGACTGAAAGTGGAGATGAAAAAAAGAAAAAAGACAAAGAAGCCCTGAGGACAGCTAGGGGCTATAGCAATCACTGTTTCTGCCAGCTGTCCACTCCTAGAGGCCACCTGGGCTTTATCAGATAGCCACTGTCTTATGGAGCTTGAAGGGGATTCTGATTCTTCTGATCATGGCTCTTTCCCTCAGGTGCCCAGATAAGAAGAATACTCAGAAACTTGTGCAGGGTGGGCTGCTGTGTCTTTCAAGAATGTGCCAACTTTATTTCACCATCAGCAGGAGTATGTGGAGAGAAGGAGTATCTGCTCAGAGGGCACAATGTTGGTCTAAAAACTCTGTGATGACTATTTATGTAGGTTATTTGGTTTTGGTTTTGAAGAATTGGGATCAAACCCAGGGCCTTGTACAAACCAGGCAAATGCTCTATCACTGAGCTTCTTTGCAAGCTCACAGAATGCTCGTATTCAGATATTATTAATCATTTCTAAGTCACCTCTGGGAAGGTCTGATCAGTGTGAATAACTCACACAGCCAAACAGGTCCTTCTGATATCACTGACCCTGATTTTTCTCGCCCACCTGGAAACTCTTTTGAGCCACAGTCCACTACCTACCTGTTCTACTCCATATGAAAGACAGGAACAACATCCAGATGGCCCCAAGCAGGAGGTTAGCTGAGCTCCAAGGTGCACATGAAATAAGTTTCAAATGTGTGTAGCCATGCAGCTCAAGAGGTAGTCTTGACCAGAACTGGAGGGTTTATAGACATATGTGCTGAACGTGGACAACCTGCCTTGTACCAGGCATTGTGCTTGGGCTCTGTCATCCCTTTCAAACCCTCCCAACACCCTTGTCAGATAGGTGGTACAATAATATCAGCTTTACTATTTGTCTAAGATGAGTGGCAGAAGGTGACCCTGCATCTGCTTGCTCCAGAGTCTGTGACTGTCCTAGGACAGGCTGCCCTGATGTAGTCTCCACCAGTCCCAGTTGGATGCCCAGAGGGCTCCAGCTCCTGGGATTGGTAAGGAACAGAAGCAGCTGAAAATTCTTTCTTCCTACAGAGATAAAGGCATACTTCCTAAATTGCAGATGGAAAAGGCAGCTGCGTCCTTCTGTAACTGATGCTGACCTCAGGCAAGTGTCCAAGCCCCAGGCCTGCCCTCTTTCCCTCCCTCCTTCTTCTTACGGGCCCACCCTAAGGTGGAACCTACCCTATATGTGCCTTCATTCCTTCTTCACTGTCTTTTTTGTCTTGATCATGCAGCAGCTTGAATATATCAACAATGATGCTCTAAGGTTATAGAGGTGAAATGCCTTTATTTAAATCACAAAGGCAAGCAGATCAAAGCTCCAAATCAGCAAGGCTACGTAGTAAGCACATGTCTCAAAATACATAAACAACAACAACAAAAATAATGATGATAATGACACAATAAGTTTATCACAAAAAGAGACTGACAAGAAGTAAACACGGCTCAATACAGACACAAGAACAAGAGGATGTTGCATGGCACCCTTGTCTGTAAAGAAGGAAATGAAGCAAGGACCTCAGGGCAATCTAGAACACACCAGTATATAGTGGCAGAATCATCTGAAAAGATAAAGAACCTGGTGTATTAGGGTTCTCCAAAAGAATAGAGCACAGAGAAAGAGAGAGAGAGAGAGAGAGAGAGAGAGAGAGAGAGAGAGAGAGAGAGACAGAGACAGAGACAGACAGAGAGAGACAGAGAAAGAGAGAGAGGAGGGGAGAAAGAGGAGAGGAGTGAGGAGGGAAGAGAGGAGAGAGAGACTGAGAGTTTAGGTTGGCTTACATGATGTGATCTGGACACTTTGACAATGGCTGTCTCACACAGGAGGGGGAGAGAGCCTGGTGGTTGTTCAGTCCATGCAGCAGCGTGCCTCAGCTGTCCCAGTCTAGTGCTAAAGGCCTGAAGGATTCCTGGAAAGGTTTGAGTTTTCACTCTAAATGAGAAGCCCAAAGAAGTTGGTTCTAATACCAGCAAAGGAGTGCCACAGCAAAAAGACAGATGGATTTGCCAGCAAGAGTGAAGGCAAGCAGGCTAGAAGGGAAGTTTCCTTCTTCTATGTCTTTTCATCAGGGCTGCCGGCAGAAGGCACCGCCCACATTTAGGATAAGGCGTCCTGCTTCAAGTAATCTATCAAGACAATCA